AATCGAATCATCGGAGGAAGCCGTTCAGTTAAGCTGTGCAGAAGAGTGAGGTTGCATAGGTGCTCCTCTAATTGACAGGCTTTAACGGTAGCCACCATATTACGCACGGCCAAAGCGAAATCAACAAGCGTACCAAGACGATCCGCTTTGGGAGCAGGCAGAATATTAATTTTCTGCAGCAGTGAATGTACTATGATTTCTGGACGCCCAAAAAGCATCTTTAGCGTGGAGATTACTTGTTCCAGGTTGCTAGGGTGCAATAGCTGACATCTCACCGCTTCCAGCGCTTTTCCTTTGAGGCACTTCTGCAGACGAACCATGTTTTCTTCGGGTGAAAATCCGCAGAGGTGTGTGGTGTTCTCAAAGGACGCAAAGAATAGCGGCCACTCTTCTGGTTCACCGGTGAATACTGGTAACTCCTTCGAGACCGCATGACGAGCGGCGATTTGGCTTCCATTCAGCAGCGCCGTTGCTCCCATGGCGGAAGGAAAGTCATGATAGTCATATGGGTGGTTCACTTGAGCAGTAGGACGCGGAAGACCAACATATGGGGCAAACGCGGAAGCGTTCTGGTGCTGATGGTGATTCGGCTGGGAAAACAATGGAATATGCGGACGCTGGTCGGTCTGAGGAGGAGCAAACGTCGAAGCATTGGGTCGTTGGTAGGCTGGATTAACTGCCGGTATATGCCGCTGTTGATTGACTCGAGGTGGATCAATGGCCGAAAAATTGGGTCGATTGTTGACCAAAGGTGGAACGTCAACCGGGACGTACAGTTGTTGCTCTCTCAGACGCGGAATGAATGTTGACTCGTTACGACTTTGGTGGACCATAGGTGGAGCAAATGGTGGAATGTTGCGACGATGATCGTTCATAGGCGACGAATGAAAAACAGGATCATCTCTTACATCGTTACGTGCTGGATCACTTCTGTTACAGTTGCCTTGAACCACAGGTTTGAAACTCGCTGATGAGTCAAGCAAAAGCTGAAACCTACGTAACATAAACTTGCGCTCGATGGCTTCCTCTTCTTCCAACAGCTGGATCCGGAGCTCAGTAGGAAGTTTGTTAACTAGATCGGGATCAACAAAGGCTTGTCTGGGAACTAGCGGCACATCCGGTGGCACAATCGGTGTTCGTGGAGTACGCGGACGTGGGGTTGGTGGCTGCAGATTTGGAAATCGTGGTGTCCGAGGACGTGGTGTAGGTGGTTGCGGATTTGGCAACGGACTACGCGGTGGCACGATCGGTGTTCGCGGAGTTTGCAGTCGTGGTGAGGGTACCGGCGAGATTGGTGTTTGCGGTGTGGGCAGAAGTGGAACTGGTGACTGCGGGTGCAGTAAAGGCTCAACTGTAGGAGTTCGTGGATGCGGCGGTCGTGGAGCAGGAACTCTGGCAACGATGCATTCCTGACAGCTCCAATCGTGGTTGGCCACATCTGCGTTAACTCCGACGCAGTCAAAATGAAACCACCGTTCACAGTCGTCACAGCTAACCATGTCATTGTTGTCTGGCAGTCTACAAAGTGGGCATGTCTGCTGCAAGCTGTCATCTGGCAATGGATCACGGGTTCGGTCACTCCGTGGCATCTCTGATCGATCCGAAAAACGAAAATTTTAAATTGTTGCATATGCAACGATGGAAACGCTTTTCCGAAATAGTAATCCTGTTTATTATGTACAGCGATTAAAATTTTCCTAAATATTACAATTTCAATTAGGTATCAATAAGGGATTGTATAAACTTCGCCGTACTCACGTTTGTAAATTCCATATAATTTCCGTACGATTGATTATTAGATAAAGGCTACGTACACCTGGTTCTGCGATCTCTGTGCGACTTCTGGTTTACTTATTTGTGTTCTATTGTTAAGGTATAGTAAATAGTTTTAAGCTTTTAATCTAGATGTAGTTCAAAAGTATTTACCTCGAGATAATGTAGACATAACCAATAATTAGATAGTTTGCAGCTTTGCAAAATTGATCGGTATCCTATAAGTTATCCTGTAAATCTTTTAGTTTTAAGTTCATGTTTTTCATATTAAATTTATGAAGCGCTCTTACCGTATAAACTTAGAATAAGCTTTAAATTATATAAAGTTTAGTTATTCACTTAGTTATTATATTTAGTATTAATAATGCAGGAAAACTTTCACGTGCGGTTGGTCTTCAATTGTTTAATTGCACCCGTCATCCGACGACGTCAATGACAGTTATCTGTCCCATCATCGCACCGCAACCAACTTAACTACAACAACACAAATCCATCGGGGGACAGGACTGCTAATCAATGAGTCTCCGGAGTAGGTGCGGCGTTGCCCGTATGGTGTACGCAACACCACCACTTACCACACGCCGTGATTAAATAAACACCGTTCGGCGAGAACGAATGCAAATCGATTTTGAAATCTGTGTTAGGGAAACTGCTTTTCGCAAGCAAACGGTGATTCGTGCAATTTTCAACCTTTTGAAAATTGATAAAGTCTAAATTTTTACAGATTCGTAGATAATTTTTTTTTGTCGATTGGCGTTTTAAGATCAAAATCAGACCACTTTCATGCCGAGACTGTGACTTATTGAAAAATTTCCAATCGATTGACTTATTTAGAATTAAAATCCATCCGCTATTGACAGAGTTATAAGTAGTCAAAGCCTGACCACTTTTTGTAACGCGGTCGATTTTGGTTTTTTTTAATTGCACTCCCAATATGTTACCGAAAGACGTAATTCTACGTCAAAAAATTAATCATGGATGAAAAAATGTAGAGAATCGAAGTGTTTAATTTTCCTGGTTTTCCCTTCATTCCGGCAGAACTTGACCAAGATGAATTTGGTGCTACTATATTGAACCCACGTGCGAGCTATATTTTTTTGTACGAAGCCGTCACCAGATGTGTAGTGCAGTGGTGGAATTAATTATTGTTATAAAATTATTTGAAAAGCCTACCGGATACCATATTACCAAGTCCCCGGCAAGGTGACAGATAACCTTAGTTTCACGTACCCACTTGCAAATCGTAGATGTCGCCACACAACGTAAACAGAGGGATTGTCCTTCACCACCGCAACGGTATTTCTCTATGGGAAACCAAATTTTTGCTTCACCATGTGTGGACGGAATACAACAGGCAAGAATGCCATATGAAAAGAGCGAATTTATGATTTTCGTAGTGAAATGAAATAAATCCATACAAATTAAACCGATTCATCTTCTTTTATCATCGAATGGCAATACAAATACTTTGGTTTCTTCAGTTGTTTTTTGCTCTTGAATTTGATCAGCCTCAGATTATTGCTTCTAGCATAGCTGTGCGATGAAGGCTTGCCACTGACCGAATGTTTACTTGCCCGTGTTTTTCTTACGGGGTAAATAAATTAAAAAGTTTGAGAGGCTGAAATTGAAAATTAGTCATATTGAATAAAATACAACATTTTTAGCTTAAATTCATTTAATGTCTTGGACAGACGTACAAAGTACACCGTTGTACCATAGAGGTAACTCTAAGACCACTGGGTCCCGAAGAAAATCATTATTATTTTTGGCTCACTCAGTACCAGAACAACGGTCCCAAGCAGTCCCAAGCTATTTCACTCACCCCTGCATGTTCTGCATGAATCCACACACCCCTGATGTTATCTGTCAAACTTTCATAGCGAATCAAAACAAACATAGTGTAGTAATAGAATTTCAACTAGAATAGGGTACGTTAATCGTTTGCTTGGGACCAATAGGCTACTAAAGTGGTGAGCCTATTTAAAATCGTTAGTTTCGTATTGATTGTTGGTTGTACTAACGTGGTACTATTTTAAGCAAGTACCTCAAATTGTACAGTTTGCAGTACTAGTTGCGTACACAGTATCCCCAACAGTATCCCCCACTCCGGGTCTAGTTAATCCGACGACTCGATATTCCGACATCACGGTCTCTTATGGAGATTTTTTACAGTGTTAGGTTGGTAACATTATTTTGTATTGATTGGACAGTCAGATTATCGGATCAACCTCACCTAACTTCACTAATCTGGCCACAATAGCAATAATAGCAATAGGATGGCTATCACCGAAAGTATCCGCGCTCAATTCTCATTTGTTTCGATTAATTCGATGACAATCACATATTTTCGTTTTACAAATCATATGTTTAAGCATTTGGTTCTGTTCTGCTCAAAGACATACGAAACTACATAAAAAAGTTTCATGAACTGATTATGAATTGAGAAAATCAAAATGACATTTCTCGCTGGCATCACTGCACTTCCTATGTCACTAATGTTAGTTTTGACGTCGGACTTAACGTGGACCACATGCGCGTTCCAGTTTGGGGGGCGCGCGACAATAAGATGAATTTTAAACCTTTTATTTACTGTACATCATTTCTGCATTCGCCCTATTCAGATAACACTTCTGAAATCTGTGAGTTTGACAGAACCACCAGCACCAAATTGTCGGGGTACACAGGCAATATACTGGAGTTGTCAAGTTGCCCCCGGGTTGCATATTACAGATATTCAGATTGGTGACTCATTATCAAAATCACATAACCAAAATATGTTAGAGAATCTTACATTTCAAGACCAACAATTGAAATGGCCTTAACTCCATTTTGTAAACCAGCCTTGTAAGGCCATTTTCTCGCGAACCGAAGTCCGCAAAGACAAACCAACATAATGAACAGGTAGGGGAAATTCTCCTCTACCCGATTGTGGTTTAGGTTTGTGAATGAAGGTTTCGGTTCGCGAGAAAATGGCCTTACAAGGTTTGTTTACAAAATGGAGTTAAGGCCATTTCAATTGTTGGTCTTGATTTCCCGATTGCTAAACGTGATATAATATCTAATACAGTGTGTCAATTTGTTTGTTATTAGTGCCGTTTCATGTTTCATTGCAATCACATCATGATTGTGGAATTTTACTCGAACTCATTTGAAACGATCTTTGAAGTGCTCAGTTGACGATTTTTTTTCCAGTCCAGAACCCATCTAATATCTCTCCTTCCTTGCAGGGTACCAAGCTATGGATCATCATGGAATACCTCGGTGGCGGATCGGCCCTGGACCTGATGAAGGCCGGTCTGTTCGAAGAAATGCACATAGCCATCATCCTGCGGGAGGTCCTGAAGGGTCTCGACTACCTGCACTCGGAACGAAAGCTCCACCGTGATATCAAGGCAGCGAACGTGTTACTCAGTGAGTTGGGCGATGTCAAGCTGGCGGATTTCGGCGTGGCCGGACAGCTAACCAATACCACCTCGAAGCGGAACACATTCGTCGGGACGCCCTTCTGGATGGCACCGGAGGTGATCAAACAGTCCATGTACGACTCCAAAGCGGACATCTGGTCCCTGGGGATAACCGCAATCGAGCTTGCCAAAGGTGAACCGCCCAATTCGGAGCTGCACCCTATGAGGGTACTGTTCCTGATCCCGAAAAACAATCCCCCTCAGCTGACCGGCAGCTATACCAAGCCATTCAAAGACTTTGTGGAAGCGTGTCTTAATAAAGATCCGGAGAATGTATGTGGCTTATGAATTCCATTCGCTGTTCACGTGTGTTAATCGTATTTGAATTTTTCAGCGACCTACGGCGAAAGAGTTGTTGAAGTTTCCCTTCATCAAGAAAGCGAAAAAGAACTCATACCTGATCGATTTGATAGATCGGTACAAGAAATGGAAAACGCAGAAGGGAGAGGAAAGCGAGACCGAGTCGGAAAATTCAGACTCGTAAGTGCTGCTTTGTACCCACACCAACACCCTTAAATTTACTACTATTTCTTTCAGTGAGGAATCGAAACCGGACAGCGACCTGGACGAGCCGTGGATCATGACGGTCAAGGGCATGCACTTCAACAACTTCAACAAGGGAGGTTCGATGGACGATCCACTTGGGACACCGGTGAAACATAACGGCACCAGCAACAACATGATGATGCTAGGCAACGCGAGGGATCGCGATCGAGATAGAGACTACAACCTGAACCAGCAGAAATCCAGTCAGGTTAGTTGATTTTGACATTCCCCATCCTATTGCCAGTAAACCAATTCTAGCATTCCAAACAGCCACGAACACCCACGTCGCCATCACATCAGTCGCAGACTTCGTCGGCGCTGATTTCCTCCAACAGCAATTCCAACAGCCGAAAGCAACAGCTAGTCTCGTCGGATCGAGAGCCCACGTCACCGCAGAAGGACATCGGTCACTATCCAAACGATCGGGCAAGTCTAGAACGGCAACGGGAAAGCGAGAAGGAACGGGAAAGAGATCGAATAGAGCGAGAGCGTGAACGTGAGCGGGAACGTGAACGGGACCGTGATCGGGAGCGAGAACGGGAACGGGATAGGGATCGGGAACGTGAGCGGGAGAGGGAAAGGGAGAGGGAGAGGGAGCGGGAACGGGAACGAGAACGGGAGAAGGAAGTCGAGCGGGAGAACAAAGAAAGGAGAGGTTCAAAGGAGGTTAGTTTACCTGAATGCTTGCTCAAATCGAACTTAAACTTAAACGAACGCATTTTCCTCAGGTGTCCAATCATCGGGGAGATGGCGAGGAAAAGATCAGTAGTTTGCGACGAGAACGCGAAAATAGTCACAGTAATGGTAATCCCAGAAGCAACAGTATTACAAATGTAAATAATAACTCCAAGAGTCGGACAAACAGCGGTTGCCTGAAGTCGATCATTTTCCCCCTACTATCGGAGGTTTGTTTGAATAAGTTTTATTTTCATCAAAGCAATTTTCATATTCCGTTTCGTCCCTACAGATGCAGCGAAGTTACTCCAGTTCCAGTAATGCGGAGCTGAGCGACCTGCGGCTTGCGTTCGAGAAGGCCGAACTGACCTGCCCCGGGGTGAACGATCTGTTTGTGAAGGAAATCATCCACAAGCTAGTGCCCGGGTTCTCCGAAACCCGGATCAATACGCTTATAGACAAAGTGACGCGGTAGGTCCTGCTCGCCTAATTCGTTTCTAAAATTGGACACTACTTTGGTCCGCACGTGTGTGAAAGTAGTTCAGGTGGTGTGATGCATCCGCGGGTCGTTGTTAACGTATATTTCGGAATATTTCGGGTGGTGACGAGCTAACAACAGAAAACTAAAAAAGAAAAAAACGGGCAGGTGGTGCTGGCTGAAAGGGAATCGAAGGCTATTTAGCATGTAACGGATTACGTAGTTTTATTTAGTGCTATTGTTTTGAAACGCCTAACTGTTAGAAAATACTATCGTTGATTGCTTCATCTCTTTCGACTCATGCTAGATAACTTTTTATAACTGACTTCCACTTGTAAATGGTAATGGTAATAAACAATTCGGTGATTTTACTTTTATATCTACTGATTCAGGAAGCTTTCTTCTATCCACGTCATTAACTATTATCCACCAAAAACCTCAATAAAGGGTTTAAAACGTGCATGTTTTCAATTTTGTTATCAGTCATCTAATACAGTGCCTATCAAGACCGCCGTAGCAGTGGATTACTACCTTCTTCTGAATTGAGAATTCTTCTGCTACAATTTTAACTAACGAAATACAATCTTCTGAAACGAATCGAAAAAGTTCCTGAAATCTGCAAGAGCCTACAAAGCCGAGAAACTTTTCCTAAGCTTCCAGGAGAAATCATAGCGAACCGGATCTCTCAGATAGCTGGAAGATTAATTCAAAGCTTTTTAAGCCATAGAAATGTTTGTTCATCGTAACGGACCTTAGCATGGCTTGTTCAACATGCTGATGTTATCAATAAGGAATGACTTGTTCACTTTTTAATGTCAAAGAAATAAACAGATAAGCTCCTCTAAGAGCATGTTCACTATGATCTGTTTAAGAAGATTGCGAAATGGTCCTCGGTGGACAGTGGTCCACATAAGAATACAAACCACACCAGGGTAAATGATGGAACGTGTAACGAGCAAACATCCTTTGAACACTCAAACCTATGACAGGCGCTATATGTACTCCAAGATAGAACGGACTGAAGAACAGTACACTGCCGTTTTTCGCGTGTCAGTCCCATAGCGAAAATCGCGTTTCAAGTTTGCTTCGTGCCATTGCTTCTTATTTGAGTGTTTTTTCCAAAGGTTTTCAGAACAAAGTTGTTGAGTTCATCTAGTATTATAAAAATATGGGTAATTAGCTACCATTTGCATTGAAAAACTTAGTTTTGACAAAAATGACTATGGGACCGACATGCGAAGAGCGGCAGTACAGCACCTGGTATAGAGGCAGAGGTGGGCACAGTTCACCTATAATGTATCTCCAATAACAGGTAATGAGTAATGAATTAAAAGTATTAGCATCGATAACCCCTAAACCATAAGTTAATCATGAGATTATCGGAAGCTTACGATAACCGCTAACTATTCTTATTCTAAATTGCCAAAAATTTTCAAAATTAATGTTTTTTATCTTTGAAAATTTTAGAAAATACTCTCGGATTTCTCGATTTAATTTTTGTGAATACAATTATGCTACTATGTTTATATTTCTGATAATATGATATTTCTGATTCCACGATAACGCGGGACTACACTCCTTTAGTTCATACGTAGCTTTTATACAATCTGTGATCACACCTTCCTTCGGAAGAGAAGTAAAGCCGTTGGTTCCCGGTCCATGAGTTGATGGGTTAATCGGTAGGGTTCTGGTGTGGGAGCTGCCTCCTTAGCGTCGGTAGCATTGGTACTCAGTATGAAAAACAAGATCGATGGAAAACAAATCAAGGAAAAACAACCGTTTCTAATATAATTTCCTATGGAAAAATCGAGATCGCAAATTTGACAGTAGGGAACGGGGGTTGTGAAGTAGGCCCACCCTTTAAAGTATGCCTACTAGTATTCTTAGTGAATCATTTGCGGAATCAGTGTTGTAAAAATATCAAAAAATCAAATCTCATCAAAGCCCAAGATTACACTAGATTTTCGTAGACAAATTAGCAAGCACACACCTGCGATTGATATTGCAAGTTGTGATGTTGCAGCTCGGAATATCAAGACTAACAAAACTCACTCAGCTGCAAATCTCTCCAAACTGTGGTGAGATTGAGTTTCATGATTTTTGATTTACACCCGAACGCAACCAAAACTTCCATAGCGGCTAGCAGCAGTCGCTTCGTGTCTCCCGCATAAACGCGAACCATCACATGACCTTACCGATAATGGTTATAAATTGTTTATAATCCCTGCTAAACTTCAACTGAAATGGTTATGGAACTTTACATGAACGTTTAATGATAAAGTTTTAACCTTAAGTATTATAGTTTTTTGGAAGTGGACCTTACAAATAATGGGTTGTTAAGAACCATTACCATTCAAAATTCTTGTTTTCTCCATACATTTTCGGAAAGAGAACTATATTAGAACGTTTTTACTTATGGTTTGAGAACATTAATGGTTATGGTTATGGTAGTCAGTAAGGTCCATTAATGGTTTTGTATTATCGCTCAACTTTACGTGAAATATATCGTGAATTGGTAATCAGTAATTTACAGGCAACCAATTCGCGATATATTCCACATAAAGTTGATCGATGTTACAAAACCATTCATGGACCTTACTGGTTACCATAACCATTACCATTAATGTTCTCAAACCATAAGTTAAAAGGTTTTAGTATAGTTTTCTTTCCGAAAATGTATGGAGAAAACAAGAATTTTGAATGGTAATGGTTCTTAACAACCCATTATTTGTAAGGTCCACTTCCAAAAAACTATAATACTTAAGGTTAAAACTTTATCATTAAACGTTCATGTAAAGTTCCATAACCATTTCAGTTGAAGTTTAGCAGGGATTATAAACAATTTATAACCATTATCGGTAAGGTCAATTTATGGTTCGCGCTTATGCGGGCTGCCATCTAAGAAAACGAGGTGCGACGGAATCATTTTTGCGTCGATTCAACTCTCAGCTTCAATCGAGGCTTCAACTTTACACGTTGTGAATAGTCTCGCAATATCAAAGGAGCTTGTACAATCAATATCAAGCATTATGTTTTGCTTCAATATCACGCGTGATACTGAGAGCGTATGAGAGCCGCAAAATATCAATTTTCTAATGATTCTGCCATCACTGTCCGGAATATTAAGCGAAACATCAATTTAGCGGAAGCTGTTGCCAATTCCGAGAAAAATTACCATTTGGCGTCAGATTATCAGCTTTAAAAGCATGCTGTGGCTGTCAGATGTGTCGAATTATTTTCACTGAAACGGAAATAACAAAAGCGGTAATGACTTTAAAAATTTGCGCTAGCGATAATCGCTGACCAAATTGTTGGCTCAGTTTATTAGCGGTTAGATTTGGGGATTAGTGGAATTGTGTCCACCTCAGCGCAGGGAAGTGTGAAAGCTGTTTGCAAGCTTTAGAGGAACTCAAGAGTGGCTCCCATGTAGTGTTTACATTTCCGGGATTCTAGAATTCCGGGAACATAAATATTCTTTCCCGGGATTCCTGAATTTCTCCGGTAAAATATATTTGCTCATAGATTTCATTTGAACCACCTGAACTCTGTTTCCTGTGCTGAGAGCAATCATTGGTATGAGATGTTACTTATAATTGGTGTTGATGGAGCAATAATATTCGCATTCTAAAGTAACCAGCAGGCTCGCTAATTAGCGGCGCCCATGGCTTCTCACACCAAAGGGCCTGGGTTCAATCGCAGTCGGCCCCGCCGGGATTTTCTGAGGCATATAATCTCTGATCACACCTTCCTTCGAAAGGGAAGTTGGTCCCCGGTCCATAAGTTGATATGTCGATAGGTAGGGTCCAGGTGTGGGAGCCAGGGCTCTACATTTTTGAAGCTCTAAAATGAAATCGTGTTTTGTTTCTCTCATACAACGTGTTCAACGCTTCATTTCTATAACGCCTAGCTAGACTATCAAAAAGAAACGAAAATGAAAAAGAAGTACGCTTAGAAGGAAAGGCTGGCTGTGGATCTTCTCGTCGTTGCTCTGCTCATCGCTTTCAATGAAAGTAACGTCGATTTTCTAGTTGAACGAAACCTCATTATGACTTTCAATCCCTTTCACGAACACTCTATCGCCGCTCTTTCAATTTGTTTAATATGCGTTATGTCCCCTTTTCGATATTTTTTTAAAAATATATGTGGATTGAAGATAAATTAAACATGTAACGTGTAATCTTCAAGTGTTTTTACGTGTGAAATGCTTTAAATATATATTTTCATTTTCCGTCATACACGTCATGAAACCTCTGTTGATGTGTTGCATAAAAGACGAAACTTTCAAAGTCGAGGGTCCTTTCGCTCGTCCGTTTCACCGAAGCTTGAACGGGATAAAGAGAGACAAGCGATTGGACATTTGTTTGTGTTCTCTCAGAACTTTCCTCAAGGAGAGCTTTTTTCTTCTTTCTCTGGATGTTGTTTTCAGCTTCCTCCAGAAGCTAATTCAAACATTCCCCGGAGTTTTCTTCCGGAATTTTCCGATCATAGTCAAAAAGTTAAAATTTTTGCTTTGAAAAACGGCACAAATATTAAATTAATTTAAATAGTAAATACCAATAAATACCAATTTTTAGAACCTTTGATACCGATAAGCTTTTAAACATTCAGGAAACACTGTATGTGAGGCGTGACGTGGGAGCTGCCTTCCTGGCGTCGGTAGCATTGGTACTCAGTACGGAAAACAAATCAAGGTAAAAGAAAGCTCACAAATTTCCGTTTTTTTTGTAATATAAAGCTGAAATACTGCTTTTTATATAGGGTTTTCGAACTATGTAAGGTCTGTATCCACAATAATCCGGACACATCAAAACTTAAGTAAACAATAATTTCGCATTATATGTCAATTGTAGTTGTCAATTTCTGATTCATGGGATATGATTTAAAAATTCACGAAGTCAAAACATAGTTATTCGGTATTTGCAAAAAATGTTCGAACTTTGTGCTTAACTGCATCCATTAGGGTTTGTACAGACTCCTCAGATACCCGTGGTGGCCGTCTTTGTCCAAATTGGTTGGAAGTGTTGGATATCTTTGATTCCTTGTTTCTTACCAGAGCCCAATATCTCTCGATTGTTGTTTTTGTTGTTTTTGACATCATCCACATCCTTCCATTCCCATACATTTGAAGTGACTGGCACTCTGGATGTGGATGATGTCAAAAACAACAAAACATGATTAATTAATCATGTTTTGTTGTTTTTGACATCATCCACATCCAGAGGGCCAGTCACTTCGAATGTATGGGAATGGTAAGAAACCATTTGGAAATGCATGAAAATTTTCAGTTTTTATTCATTATCGTGTCTTTATGGGCAGTTTTAGATGCACAAAAATTGCACGAGTACACTACTATGGTGATAAGGTAAACACTCGTTTATTTGTTTCCTTCTGTGAAAGCATGTTTAGTCACAAATCGTGGATTTTCTGATATTCTCCATACTGCAAAAATGATTTTCCTACCACTGAAGGGGCGACATCTCTCGGATCTTCAGTATAGCTACTACTCAAATCATATAATTAATTGACAAGTCAGGATTTGCATTACTTCCGTACATAATCCGCTCGCGCACGTGTTTTTTTTTTCATTCGTCGCCATGTTGAACACTAAACATGTATTGTAAACACAAATCATAGTCTTTTTCGTCAATAGAGTTCTCCATCACCGTTAATATTAGTGAGCAGTTTCATTAATACAAGCGTTTTACTGGTTGAAAAAAAAAAACAAACCGCTGTCAAGTCGAACACTTTGACAGCTGATTTCGTGGTTGAAAATCGATTTTAAACGGCTACATTAGCGACGTTGTATTGGTGAAATCTTGCGGCAAAAAGTCAATGACTCCTAGCTATACCTCAGCGAAATTTTTCACTCCTGCGTGCAATATTTCTAAAGTTACAGTGATTTGTAGGTGTCCGGATTAATGTGGATACAGACCTTACGATATCAGACTTTTGTCCCCGGTCAATTAATCATTTTGTCAAGCTTCTGCATTCATGTTCCATCAGATGTCACTGCTGTTGTTTGCGGTGGCATCTATCGAAAGCTACTCATAATCTGTTTTACGTTAATTGTTCACAGAGGACAGTGCAGTGCTAAACATGTCTGGTACCTCTATATATGCATTTAGATCAATATTCGAAGTCCCTCCTTTATTACACATCCTACACACAAAATAGCTAATCCCTCACAGAATTTCCCGCCGATTTTTATGAATGGGGCGGGGCAGAAAGTATCTTTTGCGCAGAATATGTAAAAAAGGAGGGACTTCAAATGTTAAACTAAATGTATATATAGAGGTACCAGGCATGTTTTGTAGTGTCAGGTACTCTATTTTGTAATCTGTGAAAGGGAAATCACAAACCGATTGTCATCAAAATACATGGCATGTTGAGAGATTGAGGTCGTAAGAGCAAATTTTCTCTATCAAATTTGAACTTTTTGGCTCTCTGGGGACTGGTTTACACTTAATCTAGGTCGGTAAAATCTCCAACAGCCGATTACCTGGGCATTTACTTTTGCTGATATCCCAGCAAAATATCTTTTATTTTGTAAACCGACTTTGCACGGGTAGTGTACATGTGAACTTTCAGTATGTTCTGTGAATTTTCAACTACAGTGAACTCTGTACAGCTCGATATATTTAAATTTTAATTTTTCACCATGTAGAAGGCCTTGGTTATCTGAAGAACTTTGTCGAAGATAGCAGCTTCCCAGATGGGCAGGTCTCGAGGTATAGCAACCACTTGAAGCTCCCAAGAATATTAAGCTTAGATTTTCAATGTGTCTTCTAAAAACGGCAAATCTACAGGACAACACAGCAGTGACCGGCTGGTTGTTATGGCACTAGTTAGGCACTCTCAGTTAACAAGTGTTGGCTACGATCATTCCCGAAATAGTAGCTAAACAGAAGAAAACATGTACCAAATTACTAACCCCTTCCATTCATTCTAATACACCATCGTAAAGATTCCAATTGGTGATGGGTTTCTTTTACTGTACAAACATAATTCATCATTGTAATAATCATCCACAATGTGGCTTTCCTGCATTGTGCGTTTCCCTTTGTTTCTTTTCCCCATTTTCCCGATTCTATTCTACAGAGATTCCAAAATGAGGCGATAAATCGTTGAGTGTTGTTGTGTGCATTGTTTATGATGGTGTGGCCCGTATTCGTAGAGGTTTGAGTGTTTCGATTTTCCGTTACTGTCGAATTCCTCCGACAGCCCCCGCTCGATCGAACATGTGTAAGTGAGAGTGGGAGGGCCCAAATCCGGAACCGAGGGAACCAGCTACATGTGTGCGTCACGGACTGGTAACGATCTACTTTTCGCCCGAAAAAAAAGAATTACAACAATTGTCAGTTATGAAAATTATCGGCTAAAGAGAATGGGAGACGATGAATGTAAATAACTTGCTTTGTTTTGAGATGGAAAACTTGAGATGATTAACAATATTTATTTATTTTAAACAGTCCTGTTCTTTTACTGCAAATAGTTAGTTTTTCATTCTTTTTAATCTATCACTGTTGGCTAGCCGGATATATTTTTTTCCCAACAAAAACCAAGATAAATCACAAGTAACGTGTTATGCAGTATCGATAATTAAAGAAGAAAATGTTTACAGCAAACTGATAACTTATGACAATATGACCTTTTTCAATACAGCAGTAGACGATTGTAGTAGACTAGCATTCATTATCACCATCATCATCATCGTAGATCAGTTCAGTGCACTCGAGAAAGACGTTGAATTTTTCTCGTAAATGCACTCTTCCCGTAGACCAACCTGTTAGCTCTATTGCCTACAGAGTCGTTTCGGATTTTTGGATCGTAGTTACTTTCTTCTGTAAATATTCTGTACAAATCTCTGTTTCGTAGAATTTTCTATGCCCGTGTTGTTTCCAAAAACTGATATCAGAAATCTTCCATTAGATTAACCCCTTAAAAAGATAGAATTGTTCTAACCGTGTTGGTTCATTTGAAAGAAACTTTTTCAACAACTGATTGCGAAACTTTGATTTTTCTTCATCATCCAGACGAAATCCTACATCATCCTCCAAGATGACCGTTCTTTACTAGGGTGCGTTTGCCGTTTGCCGTACACGTACACCTGCGCAGTTTTGTTCAGTTTTTTGGCATTCCATCTAATCGAATCGTTGTTGAAAATTCTGTTTATAATTTTTGTCGCGATTTTACCCTAAATATCCCTTAGCTTGAATTACGTTTTTATATGACACTTATGTTTTCCTTGTTTTATTACGCTTTTGCATTTTTGTTGATCAAAAATTGTTTTCCCCCATTAAAAAAAAAACGAATGAGATAGGATGCTGTCCACTATGGCGAAAGCAGTGAACTTAGTCAGCAGCTAAATGTTATTAAGCTATGTAGTTAGTTTCGTTAAACAACTTCCCTTCACCTCCAACATACACAAGACCATACTATAGCGAGAAAGAGCGGAGCGAGCGGAATACAATTGGATATGATAAAGAAATAGTTATCAATGTAGTCTAGTGAGGAGAAGGAATTACGGATGGAAGCACGTATGTTATAATAATTTTAATATGAATTCTTCAGTATGTAATATTGACTGTAAACAAAATGTGGACTAGGAATTAGCTGTGAATGTATAGGTACGAACGTTTTCCTCAAGTAGGGAAACAAGTAAACGGACGAGAAATGTGTAGGAAAGGATAGAAGGGAAATATGTAATATTTAAATTGATGCATACGGAAGGATACTAATTTAACTAGGTATATTTAACTAAAATCCATTTCGAAAAACACGCAAACAGTTTGAAATTTACGCAACAGTAAACAGAAAACCAAGTATATATTTCAGGAAGCATACAAACAGCTAAACAACTGTTAAAATAATTATAACAAAACAAAATAACAAAGGAAAACATCAATAGACTTCGACAACTTGAGAACATTGCAGTAGCAGGAAAGCAGTTCCTTGTTGACACGTACACGAGAAAGAGAGAAAATATGTATAAAGTAAAACAGTGAAAAGGAAAAAAACGAAGCCCCGGGTAGAGGATGATCCAAGGTAACAAGAGGAATACAAATTTCGAAAACATTAGTTGGTTTCTAAAAAAAAAAAAAAATACTGTTCCGGTAGAGCGGCGCTCGTTCACGTTTCGGACGTATGCTGCAGAGGAGTAACATGGTAGTTGAACAAATTCCTTTGAAACGTTTGGATACTGTGTCGAGAGGCGAAAAAATAACAATAAAATCAATCGTAAATGAAGCATTGATAATCAACTGAAGTTTGTCGTTATCTGTGAACATATCCCAACTGTCCCGTGGTCTTTCCACGTTTCTATGTCATTTTATTCTTTTTGAATATTAATATGTAATCACAGACAAACAGACATAACTGTTGCATGTTGTTCATCGAACAAGCATTTAACGGTCAATTTAAAAGTATCGTAGTTGGTAGTACCGCCACCCGTAGCGCGCATAGTCAATTCCCTTGCATTTGACGTTTACACACTACCGCCATCTGTTCAGCGTACTACCCACCATAGTGTACTCAACAGATGGTGGTAGTGTTTAAGCGACGACGTTTCACAGTGAGAAATATTCAATGAGTTATGTCTGTTTGTCTGTGATATTATTATTATTATTATTATTATTATTATTATTATTATTATTATTGTCTACATGAAACAACCTTAAAGCTAAAACAATTCAAGTGTTTCTTATCCGTGCCAAAAAGCGAGATGAAGATTCCCCAAATTCGAATAATTCTTCGACAGCCGTAAACGTACGCATCATAGTTGTTAGTGGTTCGTTGTAACCGAACGCCGTTCGATGGTACCGCGGTTGGAGAAGGGTACCACTTCGTAATGTTCTCGGTGGTACTCGGATATCCAACAGCGAGAGAAGCCTCGAGCAGTCGACCTCACCATTCAATAGCTTGGCAACAAAAACTGCTTGCTGATTTTTCCGTCGGCATTCCAGAGTATCCAAGCTCAGCAGATTGCAGCGATCAGAATACGGCGAGAGATTTTGCGGATCACGCCATGGTAGATTACGTAATGCTATCCTGATAAACTTGCGCTGAACACTTTCGATCCTCAAGCTCCAAGTCAACTGATGAGGAAACCAGACCAAGGAGGCATTTTCCAGGATTGGTCGCACAAGTGAGCAATAGAGAGCTTTCAGGCAGTGTGGGTCAATGAAGTGGGGCCTCCCTTAGCTCAGTCGGTAAAGGCGCAGCTACAAAGCAAGACCATGCTGGAGGTGGCTGGGTTCGATTCCCGGTTCGGTCTAGGAATTTTTCGGGTTGGAAAATTTCTCGACTTCCTTGGGCGTAGAAGTATGATTGGACTTGCCACACAATCATATCAATGCAAAAATGGTACAGGCATCGAAAGCTCTCAATTAATAACTGTGGAAGTGCATCTAGAACACTAAGTTGAGAGCACGCAATAAGCTAATATGCGATATGCAATAAGCTTGAAATGCGAAGAAGAAGAAGAAGGGTCAATGAAGTCCTTCGATATTTTCGACACAAAACCTAGCTGGCGATTCGCCTTTGTGATCAGAGCAGAGCGGTGGAGGTTGAACGTCAACTTATGGTCCAGTAGAACACCAAGATCGCTGAACTGGTCGGTTCTTTGAAGAACCACACCGTTGATGGCATAGTCAAAAACAATCAGCTGCCTGATGCGGTAATACGACATTACCATACATTTAGGAATGCTGAGGGTAAGCTTATTCCGACGACACCAATCAACGAACAGATCCAATACCGATTGAAGACGAATGCAATCCTCAGCAGTCCGCACCACGAAGTACAGCTTTAGGTCATCGGCATACGCAAGCTTACAGCCATCTCCAAGTAGAAGAAGTGCGTCGTTGATGTTCAACACAAACAGCAATGGGGTTTCGCCTTAAATTAGTTTGCACTCGTAAAACGTACGATTTGTAGAGCGAAGAGTTTAGATTACGGTACTCGTTACACGCCAAGTGAAAACTAAGCTTATTTGCCAGGGAACGGTATCGCCGAAGTCTACGTTGCGAAGCATTTCTTTTTCGTTTTAGTTTTCGTAGCAAAGCGGTGCTCCACGCAGGAGAAACAGCAGGCCGACGAATCGGTACGTTTGTAACCATCCAATTATTTAGCACAGCACACAACGTTTCAGCCATTTCATCTGCATTCAGTCCATCGAAAAGAAGATCCCAGTCAGTGACGGAAAGGAAGTCCATTAGAACATCGAAATCAATCTTGCTATAGTCTAACGCAAGCTCATCACTCGCTTTCAGCAGCAGTGCACCGTCATCAACTAGAGATGGTAAGCAGACGACTAGTGGCGGATAATGAAGATCAACTGGCAAGAGTGGTGAAACAGATCTCGAGATTTCCACAGGAAAGTCCGTATGGCAAAAGAACAAATCCAGGATGCGTCCTAAATGGTTGCGCTCGAGATTTCTCTGATGCAGGTTGTGGAAATCCATGCCATCAATCAAGAATGAGCTAGCAACTGGTAAAGGAACAGAGTTCACAGGTCGAATCTCGCCATCAGCCCAACTCCAGGATATCCCAGGTTGATTGTAGTCACCGCATACCAGCAAGCAATCGCTGTCAGAGCCACTGTTACAAAGCTCTTGGATCGATTCAATATGCCCATTCAAAACGCTGAGATCCTTGCTCTTGTCTGGAGGAACGTAAATTGCACACAGCAATAGTCGCTTGGATCCAATCCTCGTCGATACACACACTTGTTCTATCGTTTCTCCGCTCGTTGCAACGACACTGCTACTGATGAAACGATGATGTACGGCAATTAGAACCCCTCTGAAACGAGATTTGCTGCTGTTTATATGGCTTCGGTCACATTGGTACACATTGTAGTTGCTTCCGAAAAGCTGCGTCGAATTGATAGCCTCGTTAAGCCCCGTCTCGATTAAAATGATGACGTCAAAATTGCACTCCAGGACGTTGCAGTAAAAGTCGTCGATCTTGGTGCGCAGTCCACGTACGTTTTGGTAATAAACCCATAAACGATTAGCGTCACGGGTCGTGTTCTGCAACATGGAAATATTTGGCGCGGGAATATTTGGTGGATGGTACAGATACTCACCTCTGGTGGAAACCCTAGGGTTTCCACCGTCCACAGAATGTCGCAAAGAATGATTATTGATAATGGTGCTAACCCTAGGGTTTCCACCGTCCACATGATAGAGCCTTAAGTATTTGTCAGTGGATTGCCGTTGGATCCAGACTGGTTTTTTGAGTAGTCGGTGAATTCACGGAATAATATCCCATCAGACCACGTAGAAGCGTCGAGAGCTAGTTCTTTCAGCGATGGATCCAAGCCAACTTTGAAGGAAATGAAAGTCAGCTTCGTCATATCCACATCCTTGGGAACGAGACGCACGACGTCAGCAGGTGTTGTTAGATCCAAGCAGTGAGAAGTAATTTTTTGAATGTCCTCAGCAGTTATTAACGGGTGTAATCCGGACAGGTAGAGCCAGAACTTTGGAGGGGAGATCGGTGGTGTTAGACACGGTACAGACAAGTCACTGAGATCAATTGCATTGGTCCCACGCACAGAAGAAGTGCCAATCGGTCCACCTTCATTACCACGACGACGTTTAACACCAAGTCTGGGCCAGGCATTTCCCTTCCTTGATCGATTCGATGGTCGCTCAGCAGGAATATCCATGGAAATGCACTTGTCAACTTTATCACTCAGCGATTCCACCAAGTTGAACAGTTGTTGAACCTGAGCCGGTAAGCCATCAGGTGACGGAGTCGTGTCGTGTGTGATCTCATCAGTAAAATACTGTTTCACACTTCTGCCATTCATTTTACCCCGACAATTTGAACAAACGAATACAGCCTTGCCTTGCGAGAATAGGTCTTTGCTCGCACGACTGAGGTTGAAACCACAACATTGCATGCTGATGTGGAAGTAAACCTCACAAAAGCCGCAGTGCAACGGCTCGATTTCATTGATTTCCAACTGGCATTCTCCGCATTGTTTTTTCTCCATCCTTACAGCGAACAAAACAAAACTCAGTGAACAGCAACAAATGATAGCGTTAGCCCGAATACAGGAATGTGGTTGAAAATTAAATCCTTCGGAATCGTCCAAAACAGCAAATTCACAAATCAACTCCACAATTTAGCGATGAAAGCAGGTCCAGATAATACGTCAACGTTGAAAAAACGATTAAAAACTACAGTCAAACGAATTAAAAATAACTTTTAGCGGACACAATGTTAACGCGAATGTAACACACACTTAAGCTACTAAAGCTCCATTACAACCGGATATAACCAATAATAGAATCAATACTGATTAAAAAATTAAAAAAAAAGATAATTTTCAATCTAATCAACCATGATTAAACTGGGTTTAATATCGGATGATTATTTTTTTAGAAAGAGAGTATTATTACGTAATTATATATTGCGTGATATGATTAAACTGAATTTAATGTCAAATTGATTAAATTTCAAGCAAAATGAGAATAGTTTCATTTATCAGTGTAGGCACTCATCTTATTTCCTTCTTAAGGTAAGGGAGGAGATGAGAGTGCTGGTCGAAAGATCATATTTGATTACCTCTGTTACAGTTTATATCTACCGTCAGATTTAACCGAAAAAAGCAATTAATCAGGATTATCAAGACACACATGATTTGAACGTTAGCTATTCTGTGTATTCTCGACAAATCAAAAAGATGAATATTTCTTTCGTGAAGCTTGGGCATGAGCAGTGTGAAACCTGCGTTGTAGCAGATCAACACTTCAAGGATTCTGACCATACAATCGAGGACGGCTCTGTAAGTGATGATTGCTCTATATGCTTTAAGTATTCGGAACATAAACGCTTGGCTAAATTATCCCGCATCGCTTACAAATGTGACGGAGATGAGACAGAACCTGGACATGTCGTACTGGCTGTTGACCTCCAGAAGGTAACAAAAATAAAGCAATTACTCTAACAATTACTTCTAAGTACTTTTCTGCTTTCAGGTTATTCAGCTTCCGCGTCTGGAAGGATTGAAGAGTGTTGTATCCTCCCAACGACGTCTTGCTTTTAATGAGACGTTTGCGCCTGTTGGGAAGTACACTCAGGATTGCCCAGTGTTCGCTTACCTATGGGACGAGTCGATTAGTGGTCGGTCCGCAAACAACATAACAAGTTGCTTTCACCGTATAATTACAAGAACAAGACTTGGATCCTACGATAAAGTTACCATGTCGCTAGACTACTTCTCTGGACAAAACAAGAATTGGAACAAATTCCTTCATCTGATTCTTTTGATGAATTCGATTCAGATTAAGGAATTGGTTCTCAAATACTTCGAGTCCGGGCATACGTTTATGTCCGCCGACAGTTTCCATGCGGCGGTGGAAAAAGGAATGCGGAATCATATTGGTTATCCAATAATAATTTTTCCAGACTTCAAGGAGGTTGTAGGCAAAGCGAAGAAGAACGTGGAAGTTCTTGAAATGTCGCTTAAAAACTTCTTCCAGACTACTTTAATTCCTTCGCAGTATACGCTGAACAAATTTCAGCCGAGACCGTACATCGAGAATATTCGAAAAATGGTTCTCCGCAAGCACAGCTATCAATTCGGGTACAGCAATTCAGTCGAGGAAGGAAGTGATCTGTCATACTGCTTTTTATTTTCAAAAAAGCAAATGAAGACGGTCACAGATGATGCTTTTGATAGCAGCTTGAAACGATTGAAGGCTCCCCGCGGGATTGACGTGGATCGAAAGAACGCCCTTCTTAGTAACGTTTTGCCGGAGGGGTTTTACCACGATGATGTAAGTGTTGATACTAGAATCACTCACCCAGCGTAGAAAAGAGATAAGCTATTAAAAATCAGTCGAAAATTAACAATGGTTGACGAACAGCTCATCTTCCTGAAACGTTGGTGATCCGAGAAAGATATTTAACTTTTCCAGAATGTGGATTCGAAGTGATCCGAGACGTACAGCTTATTATTTATGATCGTGAATGTAAAATGATCTCTGACGGACATCTTATCTATCCGGACGGATATCTTCCTTTTTCTCGGAGATAAAATTAAATATTAACCATTATCTGACATTTTGGAACAAAGTTTCATCGGATCAGGAACATCCATATTACTTTTTCAAATTGTGACTGGAGAGTTATAACATGTTATAACGGTTGTCAAATAATTGCAACACAGAGACCACCATCAAGATAGCGCTATAACATGTTATAACTCTGTAGTCTGAACGTACTATAAGCATAGAGGTAACTCTAAGACCAGAAGGTCCCGAAGAAACGTGCTCAACTTTTTGGCTCAGCTCTGGTACTCTCTTCGGTCCCAAGCTAATCGATGCACCCCTCGAAACATAGGAAAATCCACGAACCCCTCATTTTATCTGTCAAACTTTCATAGCGAATCAAAACATAGTGTAGTATTAGAATTTCGACTAGAATGGGGTACGTTAATCTATTTGCTTGGGACCAATAGGCTAGTCAAGTAGTGAGCCAATTTAAAATCGTTAGTTTCGTATTGATTGTTGCTATATGGCCCGCCCGATAACTCACTGCGTCGTACCCCTCGTTCTGGTGTCTAATGAATGAACATCACTCATGAGTGACAGTGGGTTCGATCATAGCACGCTGCTGTTTAATTCTGAGCTTGATCTGTCCTCTTTTCGCGGTTGTCCGTTGGCCGAACAAGACGAACGTTGCTGCTGCTGCTGTCATCTTGTGTGCTGTTTTGCTGCGCTCCAGTGGCGCTGGGTAATTCTCAGCCGGAGGATAAATTCTCAAATCCCACAGTTATCATTCTTTTTTATGTTGACGGCAATTTTTCGTTAATTATTTTTCGTCCAATAGTGTGACGAATCAAGAATCAATAGATAAGATTAGGAGTGAATACAATGATGTATTTTTTTTACAGAACTACTCTCATCGGACACATGATTTTGTATAAACTGCCCTACAATACTTTAATTCAATTGAGTGTTTCGGAACAGTTTTATGAATAATTATTGCGCTCAAAATATTTTTCTAGAGTTTAAACTTAACCATAAAACTCAGCGATAATTCAGTATTTATTATGCACCTTGTTCGTATTATAGCGACCTTTCCTTACGGTACTCGATAAAGTTTTGTTTCATTCTGCACTTGGAAAATAAATGCTTTTTCTCGTTTGTTGATCAATTACGGCGATTACCAATCGATCATTCTTCCTTTTTTGCATTGTTCGTTTTCGGATTTGATTCTGTCTAAGGAGTGTTTCATAAACTGTGGAATATATAGAATTCACAATAAATATAGATTACACTGGTACTATTCGTCTATCTTTGTGTTTCGAAACAATTCCCTACGAAATTTTCGGTACACTTGTTTTGATCTGGGTTACATTTCTCTGTTCTAAAATGTGTTTCAACATGTTCTACATTGTATTCAATTTTCCCTATAATAATTTAAAGTCAATCGTTTGATTTTCGGTCCTTCCCTCGTCTCATACCATTCCGTGAGGCAAGCTCACTATCCGCGAAAGCGGAATCAACTGATTGATTCGTCGTATTTCAGATCCTTCAGGTTAGCACCAGTCTCGTTGAGAACGCGATTCTTCAGCAGCTCGATTTCCAACAGCAGCTCCTTAGTTTCGAGATCCAGAGATTCGTTTTCCGACTTAAGCTGTCGATCCTGATCAATATCCCACTCGAGCGAATCCTCCGGCGTTGATATGTGTGAAGAGGAAGCATACGAACCACAGCTCACGATCGAGGGCGTTCCGATGACACCGGACCCGTTCGCACCGACGCTGGACAGGGGATGGGTGCTGGCACCGGTTCCATTATCCGGAGCGTGCAGCAATGGACCACGATCCAACCGTCGTATGCAGTTGATACGGTCTTTGCTTTTCTTGAGAATGGACCATTCCTCCACTTTGAACACAGGATCCATCGGTGTAGGGTAAGGGAGCTGTTGGTCGTCGATTGGTCGCAGTTGCCTAAGAAAAGAACTATGTCGCTTAGGAAGTCTCATTCACTACATACGTTAACACTGATTTTACCAATTGCTATTCTGGTATCCGTAATCATTCTCCCACTCCAGATCCAAGGAACTCCCAGGAGTGGAAGTCATATCCGTATTGAGATCATGATATCCATTCTTTCGAGTATTGCTATCCTTCGACACCAGCAGAAGCGAGTGTGCATCGAGGCACTGCAGTTGAATTTCTGATCTGAAAGTTTGAAAGCAGATAGTCATTTTTGCTGGATTTATCCGATTTATATTCAGTTGAGAACTGACCCTGATTTCTGATGGTCATTATTATTACTCTTGCTTATAAAATTATTGTTTGATTTGTTCAGTCTTGAGTACTCCACATCTCCTTTTCTTTGCCAAATTTTCCCAAAAAGCTTCGTTTTCTTCTGTAAATTAAGCAAATTTTTTATATTATCTTAAACATAGAGCACGGTGTCTTAGTTAGAGTAACATTAAAACAAAATAGCTGGTTGGAAATACTATCTAATGTCAACATGAAGCTTTAGTGTGATAATTTATTAGCAAGAGGGTAGGTTGATAGTTCCGCTAGAGTAAGATAGTGTGAAAATTGAATAGAAGTTGAAAAAAGTCGAAACAAATTGATTGGTAGTAGTCTCAATATCACCATTGTAATGACCAATTAATTTGTTTCGAATCGCAAGAAATCTAAAGCTAAAGCACAAGAATCTCACAATGCCTCACCTGTTCACTATGCCCTATCTTCCCCTACTAATGAAATATTTCATCGAGGGAACTTTTCCATATTAAATATGGGCCAAATTGAGCGTGTATTTCTATGGGTTATTTTTCTATCAGTATTTGGAAAATATCGAGAATATGTTGTCTTTTTCCAGAACCCCAGATGAAAAATTGAATAGTGTCTACATAATGGGAAAAGTCTCGTCTTTCAAACCCTAATAAATGGGTACCATACACTAACGATATCATAGATGGTACGACCATACCACATAAAGTTGGGATGATATCCCGAATTGGTGGTTAGGCGCTTCTTATGGTTATTGTTTATGCGGGAAAGATGGTGGGCTCGCCCATTTTCATGTTTTAAAGCTACTCTAACAAATACACCGTGAGAAGTTTCTGATTTCTATCAACTTACTTTTGATTTGTTCTGCTTGATTTTCACTTGCTGCTGTGATGATCCTTCGACCAACATCTACAAAAAATAAGTAACGATAAAAGTTGAGCAGCTTTATTTTCAATTAAGCGGTAATATTTCGAAGTCCATTGCTGTTTGTGTTGTGTTTTTACTAATCATATTTACGTTCATGATCATTTATTGATTAACTTGCTCATTTCTACCCAAGCAGCCAACTTACTTACCTTACCAATCAGGCTAAGGCCTTGTTGGCCTCTGCTGTCCGAAGAAGTCGTCTCCACTCTACTCGATCCATGGCAACACTTCGCCAGCCTCGTAGTCTGCGAAGGGTCCGCAGGTCACCTTCTACTTGGTCGATCCACCTTGCCCGCTGCGCGCCTCTTCTTCTTGTTCCTGTTGGGTCGCTTTCTAGAACCATTTTCACTGTGTCGTCGTGCGGCATTCTTACGACGTGCCCAGCTCACCGTAGTCGCCCAATTTTTGCAATGTGGACGATAGATGGTTCTCCCAGCAGCTGGTGCAATTCGTGGTTCATTCGCCCCCTCCACGTTCCGTCATCCATCTGCACTCCACCGTAGATGGTACGCAACACCTTCCGTTCGAAAACACCAAGGGCGCGTTGGTCCTCCACGAGCATAGTCCAGGTCTCGTGGCCGTAGAGGACCACCGGTCTAATCAGCGTCTTGTAGACAGTCAACTTCGTGCGGCGGCGAATTTTATTCGACCGGAGCGTCCTCCGGAGTCCAAAGTAGGCACGATTCCCTGCCATAATGCGTATTTGAATTTCTCTGCTGGCATGATTTTCGGCGGTCACCAAATACACGAACTCATCGACCACCTCGATTTCGTCACTGTCAATCTGAACTCGGGGTGACATTGTCTTCCCTAGAACCTCTTCCTCTCATGTATTTTGTCTTTGATGCGTTGATGGCAAGTCCAATCCGTCTAGCTTCAGCCTTCAGTCTGATGTACGTGTCCGCCATCATCTCAAAGTTCCGTGCCATAATGTCAATGTCATCGGCGAAGCCAAGGAGCTGGATGGACTTCCTGAATATCGTGCCACTCGTGTCTATCCCAGCTCTTCTGATCACACTTTTCACTTGAACAGCAGACACGAAAGTCCATCACCTTGCCGTAACCCCCTACGAGATTCAAAGGGACTCGAGAGTGTCCCCGATACTCGAACAACGCACATCACTCGATCCATCGTCGCCTTGACCAATCGCATAAGTTTATCCGGAAATCCGTACTCGTGCATAATCTGCCATAGCTGATCTTGATCGATTGTGTCGTATGCGGATTTGAAATCGATGAAAAAATGATGTGTGGGCACGTTGTATTCGCGGCATTTCTGCAGAACCTGCCGAATCACGAAAATTTGGTCCGTGGTAGCGCGGGCACCCATGAATCCCGCCTGGTATTGCCCCACGAACTCTCTTGCAAATGGTGACAGAAGGCGGCATAGATTTTGGGAGAGCACCTTGTAGGCGGCGCTCAGCAGTGTGATTGCGCGGTAGTTGTAGCAATCCAACTTGTCGCCCTTTTTGTAGATTGGGCATACGACACCTTCCATCCACTCCTCCGGTAATATCTCCTCCTCCCAAATCTTGGCAATTACCCAGTGCAGCGCTCTAGCCAGTGCTTCACCACCGTATTTCAATAGCTCACTTGGTAGTTGATCTACACCAGTTGCTTTGTTGTTCTTCAGCCGACCGATCTCCTCCTCAACTTCTTGAAGATCAGGGGCCGGTAGCCTGTCGTCTTCTGCGCGTGCTCCAAGGTCTGTTGCCGTGCCACCTTCGTTTTCTGCTGCTTCACCGTTGAGGTGCTCGTCATAGTACTGCTTCCACCTCTCAATCACCTCACACTCGTTCGTGAGAAGGTTACCGTCCAAGTCCTTGCACATATCGGCATGCGGCACGTAGCCCTTGCGCGAACTATTTAGCTTCTCATAGAACTTCCGTGTGTCGTTTACGCGGTACAGATTTTCCATCGTCTCGCGATCTCGGTCTTCCTACTGACGCTTCTTCCTTCGGAAAACCGAGTGTTGTCTGTTCTGTGCTTGTCTGTATCGCTCAATCTCGTGCGGTGTTGCAGCATTCTCACCAGTGCCGCATTCTTCTCCTCTACTAACAGTTTGCAACCAGTCATTTCTTCGGTCCGGGATTGCAGTACCTAGTGCCGCTGCAGCAGTACTGCCTATGGCTGAACGGATGTACCTCCAGCCATCTTCAAGAGAAGCTGCGCCAAGCTGCTATTCCGTGGGTAGTGCAACTTCCAGCTGCTGCGCGTAGTCTTGGGCAACTCCGGCGTCCCGTAGTTGCTCAAAGTTGGGTCGTGACGTTCGACTTCGACGGGTGTTATGCACCGTCTAGAGTTTTGAGCGCATGCATACTGCAACTAGGTAGTGGTCCGAATCTATGTTCGCACTACGGTACGTGCGGACGTTGATAATGTCGGAGAAAAATTTCCCGTCGATTAGAACGTGATCGATTTGGTTTTCTGTGTGTTGGTCAGGTGATCTCCAGGTGGCTTTGTGGATATCCTTGCGGGGGAAAAAGGCACTTCGAACTACCAAACCCCAAGAGGCTGCAAAGTTCACGCATCGTTGGCCGTTGTCGTTCGATACGGCATGGTGGCTGTTTGGCCCGATTGCCGGTCTATACATTGCCTCCCGTCCTAACTGAGCGTTCATGTCGCCGATGACGATTTTGACGTCCCGTTGCGAACAGCCGTCGTACACCTGCTCCAGCTGCGCATAGAACGCTTCTTTCTCGTCGTCGGGTTTTCCTTCGTGTGGGCAGTGCACGTTGATGATACTGTAGTTTAAGAAATGGCCCTTGATCCTCAGCTTGCACATCCTCGCGTTGATCGGCTTCCAACCAATCACGCGTTGGTGCATCTTACCCAGCACTACAAAGCCGGTTCCCAGCTCGTTGGTGGTGCCACAGCTCTGGTAGAAAGTAGCCGCTCGATGCCCACTTCTCCGTACCTTTTGTCGCGTCCAGCAAAGTTCCTGCAGTGCTACCCACAATCAATACGAAACTAACGATTTTAAATTGGCTCACTGCTTGACTAGCCTATTGGTCCCAAGCAAACGATTAACGTACCCCATTCTAGTCGAAATTCTAGTACTACGCACTGTTTGTTTTGATTCGCTATGAAAGTTTGAGAGATAAAATGAGGGTTATTGGTTTTTCCTATGTTACGAGGGGTGAATCGATTAGCTTGGGACCGAAGAGAGTACCAGAGCTGAGCCAAAAAGTTGAGCACGTTATTTCGGGACCTTCTAGTCTTATAGTTACCTCTATGGTGCTACGATTTCGAAGTTGCGTGGTTGAAGTTCGTCATAGATTAACCTATCGCATGCAGCCAACATGCCCGTCAATTAGCCTATTTGCAATAGGGTAAATGTATTAATGTTTGACTAGCATAATTCTTTCATTTTTTGGTATAACAATGGGCAAAACATAAACACATACATTAAAGGGTGATACCATAGAGGTAACTCTAAGACCACTGGGTCCCGAAGAAAATCATTATTATTTTTGGCTCACTCAGTACCAGAACAACGGTCCCAAGCAGTCCCAAGCTATTTCACTCACCCCTGCATGTTCTGCATGAATCCACACACCCCTGATGTTATCTGTCAAACTTTCATAGCGAATCAAAACAAACATAGTGTAGTAATAGAATTTCAACTAGAATAGGGTACGTTAATCGTTTGCTTGGGACCAATAGGCTACTAAAGTGGTGAGCCAATTTAAAATCGTTAGTTTCGTATTGATTGTTGGTGATACGGTCAAAATTTGGTCAATATCAACTTGACGTATTTCTTTTAATTTTGCATTTAAAAAACCTGAACACCCCTCATTTTGAAGGTGTGTGTGTGTAGAATGTTGCTCCTATTTTGATTTTGGAATTCACTCTTCAGTTGTCAAAATGCCGTCCAAGCAAGAAGAGCAGCGTATCAAAATTTTGCTCGCGCATCGCGAAAATCCGAGCTACTCGCACGCAAAGTTGGCAAAATCGCTAAAAGTTGCCAAATCAACCGTTACAAATGTAATTAAAGTGTTTGAGGAACGTTTGTCGACAGCCAGGAAGTCTGGATCGGGGAGAAATCGAAAACCGGAAGCCGCTGAGACGACAAAGAGAGTTGCCGGTAGTTTCAAGCGAAACCCTAACCTCTCTCTCCGAGATGCCGCAAATAAGCTGGGTGTATCGTCTACAACCGTGCATCGAGCCAAAAAACGAGCCGGACTATCGACTTACAAGAAGGTAGTGACTCCAAATCGCGATGATAAACAAAATACGACGGCCAAAGCGCGATCCCGGAGGCTGTACACGATGATGCTGACGAAGTTTGACTGCGTGGTAATGGACGACGAAACCTACGTCAAAGCCGACTACAAGCAGCTTCCGGGACAGGAGTTTTATACGGCAAAAGGAAGGGGAAAGGTAGCAGATGTTTTCAAGCACATGAAACTGTCAAAGTTCGCAAAGAAATATCTGGTTTGGCAAGCCATCTGTACCTGTGGCTTGAAAAGCAGCATTTTCATAGCTTCCGGGACTGTCAACCAAGAAATTTACGTGAAAGAGTGTTTGAATAAACGTCTGCTGCCTTTCCTGAAGAAACACGGTTGTTCCGTACTGTTTTGGCCGGATTTGGCATCTTGCCATTACGGTAAAAAGGCCATGGAGTGGTACGCCGCCAACAACGTGCAGGTGGTTCCCAAGGACAAGAACCCTCCCAACACGCCAGAGCTCCGCCCAATTGAGAAATACTGGGCTATTGTCAAGCGGAACCTAAAGAAGACCAAAAAAACTGCTAAGGGCGAGCAGCAGTTCAAGGCAAACTGGCTTTCTGCGGCGAAGAAGGTGGACAAGGTGGCTGTACAAAATCTGATGGCAGGGGTCAAGCGTAAGGCCCGGCAATTCGGATTTGGAAAAGCGGAAGCCCAACCGAATATTTTTCCTGAATTTTATACTAATTGAACTTGAAAAAGAAATTTAATTTGATTTTTTAAATAAACGATTTCACCGATTTACACGCGTTT